AACTGAACTACTCACTAACTGACTAAACTAACTCTATACTAACTCTAAGTCTAAATCCCCTTTTGGTCCCACCAATCAACGGAGCCTAGACCCGGCCTTTCCTGACCCTAACCCTTCCTGCTCGCACCACACACCGCGCCGCCCGAAGCCGTCCACCACAGACCGGGCCTGGGCGCCCAAATGTCTCCAGCCAGGCGCGTTGAGTGGGTGCTAAGACTACGGGTACTGTATGTCCATCTTGGCAACGCAACACGGGCACACGACACAATTCATCGGGCAGATGGCCAATTACTTGGGCACACAGCTAATTATATCGGGCACACCGCCAAATATATCGGGCACACGACCTCGGCGGGCCAAATTAAACGGGCATATGGCTAATTATATCGGGCACACCACCAAATATATCGGGTGCACGGCCAAATACATCGGGCATTCGTCCAACTTAACTGCAAAAAGGTGTAGTAGTATTTTACACTTCTATCCCGAAAATTTACAGTTTTGACCCCACCAGGCGACTGTAAAGTCGCGGAAACTGTAAATTTTTACGCAAGGCTGCAAATCGGCCAGATTTAGAGCATCCCCACCGGTAAGACTGTATAATCAGAGTGTAAAATACCATTTTACACTTCCTGTAAGGTAATGCATCAATTATTGACACTGTTTTTGGTCAAGTTTTGGCCATGACTTCAAATCCCAGTAAGTCGAGAACGAGAACGATTATTTTAATGCAGATAGCACCACAAGAGAATATAAAACGCCACCATTTTTTTACGTATCATTGAGCATGATTGGACTGCATTTCATATTTGTATCGAAATTAAATGTTTTGAGCTTTATGGTCAGGTGAACCAATTCATGACACTCCTTAAAAACCTTGATGTTTGTATTCGATTAAATTAATATGCAAAATAATTTGATTAAAAATATAATTGCATGCATTTCGCAATACGTAATAAAAATTTACATGAATTTAATTAGTCAGCGTAAAAAAATGCAGTCACATTTTAATTCCGCTGTCCGGCCATACATGCCTACGAGAGCGTCACGGCAGTTGTGCATAGCTATGTGATACATGGAAGTACTCACTTTAGAGCCATCGCTACCATAGACAATGAAGCAGCAGCGTATTGCTCCTCGCAACGAGTGGATGGCATCCACTCTGCCACTACTGTTGTGATCCACAGCAGTGAATTAAACGTCAAAGGTATCTAGTTGACATTCTATTTAAATACTTGTATTTTTTTGTTTGAGATTAAAAAATCTGACCACATCAACATTGAGACGTGTAATAAAATATAGAGACGAATATTATCATATCCAATCATACAAGGCCAACACGAAATATCGAGATGTTATTGGCTAAAAGTCAGACAGTATCACAATTTGGTGCCGGGTCAACAATTGATCCTTTACAGATAACGACGGAATAAGTGACCCCGTGGTACTAAAATTTCGTATTGATTTAAGTATTCTACTTTTCGAAGTAGTTTGTCCCAATACAAATTTGAAGTGCTATTTCGAAGTACCACAGGGCCACTTATTCCGTCGTTATATGTACCTAGTTTGAATTTCATCAACCCACGATAAAAAAATCCGCATAACTACCATATCCGGAAATACGTGGAATATACCGGGATCTGTAACTCATGATACCAATGATGGGACAAAATTATTACTACCGTAGTACTTGCTAACATGTTTTTGGCTCATTCGTCAAAACTGTATTTTAGTTTTGGTGCGTCGAAACTGTATCATAAGAGCCCCATCAGTGCGACTGTAAACGCTATTTTACAGTTCTAACGTTATCCGGATTATTTACAGTTTTGACAACCCAACGGGCGCCTGTAAAATACAGGAAACTGTAAAATTTTACCGTGAAAATCGGCCAGATTTACAGTTTCGACTGTAATATACAGTTTTGACGAATTAGCCAATAACATGTTATCAATAGATAATTTTGCCCAATCATCGGTGTCATGTAGTTGACGGAAAGCCAACAATCACTTTCCTTTGAGCAAATTGATTCGTTGAGTACAGCCAAAGCACAACCTTCGCTGAGCAGGGAGACATTTTCAGGTGTGAATGACCGATTTTCCTTAACGTTAACAGCTTACTTCCATCAATCAACACATTAGAACAGTCTTATTCTCAACCGCATCGTCCATGGCGAGTCCATATACCTAAAGTAACGTTATAACGACCTTGACCAACTAAAGCGCGGGTGAGATTTGCCATTCTGTAAATTGACTATGATACCAAAATACAGTAGTGATAGCATCCCCATCGGTGCGACTGTCCCTACAAATTCGAGCATCTTCAGCCTGACAATCAAGGGGTAGGTTGGAATGGCGGCCTACTATTGACTACATAGGGCGGGAAGGTGGTCAAGGATCTCACAAGTCGATTCCATGTCATCACCTCGTCCAAGCAAACTTACTACAGTACACTGTACAATTGTATTAATAGTACCCGTAGTACTACTGTAGTATGCGTCCCGATTCATTTCCGGATATGATATTTATGCGGATGTTTTACAGGTTCACCCCTGGAAATCGCGAAATCCAGTTTGGCCTGGGCAAAACTTGCGAAACGTAATATAATTTTGAATGAAAAGTTGGACAAGTTTTATTTAAAATGAGTATAAAATGTTTTCGAGATGTAAACAGCCCAGTCTACATTTTGTAAACTGAAAATTCAATACTTTGACCTAAGAAAACCCTACCTAAACTTTGTCCAAGCTCTTCCAAATTATTTGTCCATTCAACTCACCAAGTTTTCAACGATTATGTAATTAGATTCATGAACTTCGTTTTGAGTGCATTAATCGTGTCACCAAAAGTATTCTATTTTCGTTTTGAAGGTCGACCTGTCGAATTAAACACGGTTACATATTGTGCCAGACCAAACTACGGAAGTTTTCGCGATTTCCGAAGGCCACCTGGGGTTGACGAAAATAAAAAAATACAGGAATTGTAAAACGGCATTTTACGGTCTGTTTATACAGTCTTTCTGATGGGGATGTTCTTACAGTTATTTTCATTTTCCTTGCGAGGCTCCTCTGACTGTGACCATGTTGGGCAAGATTGATGAACACCCCCCCTTGACGACTGCTTAGATGACTCTGCTCTCCCTTTGTGGTTCAAAATCTTGCAATACGGTTGCGCTATCAAGTGGGCCATTTCGATGGCAACACTTTGCCACGCATCGATGGTTGTCCATAGTGCAGAATGTGTTCGGCATTTCGATGTTTCTGAGTTTTGTCCCGCGCTGGCTGTCAGCTTCCTTGCAGATTCAGCAGCCCTTGCATATAATACAATTTACCATGTATATCGCTACGTTTCGTCTACGCTTGTGGTATGTAGCCACATGACGCACACTGCGTCGCAATCCTACAGACACCTGAATCGAGCTGCATCCTTGGTGGTGTGCATTGTTGTTTGACCTGCAAAGTGTACCTTAACGTTACAGTACCGGCACAGTACTGTAGCACGGCGTTCAATATCAATAGGGGGAATGTTCTTCATTTCGACGACATTGGACAACCCGTACACTGTTTCCAGCCATGTGGAGTTGCCGAATTGGTCTGTTGACTCTTCATGTCATTGATCCTCCGCTGTTCGATTTGGTTCTCCTCTGTCGGTAGCAGAATTTGCGACGAACGCACGATGACGAAATTTGGATTTTATAGCATGTATCGATTTTATCTGTGGGTTTGTATACTTCAAGCACAAAGCCGTGTTATATTTAAATCCAATGATGGCGCCCCAGAATGTAGAATCTTGTGATAAGGTACGAAAATGCATATATAAGACTCAAAAAGCGATAAACTCATCATCCCAGATTAAAGAAGTAGTCCCAAGCAGTATATCAAATGTAATATAGCATATATCATCTATGATTGCGTACTCACATCAAGCTCAGTTTCAGATGTGACGTTCAGTATCGGATCCGCCGAACGTGCACAGAAGTTGTTCCCCAACCCCTTCTGTTTGGAACGAGCCAATCAGAGTCGAGAAGCGGGCTGGATATTTTCGGGCCAAGCTGTTACTTTCGATAATCAAATGACTTGGCATTTGTATACTTTGGCGGTGTAATTTATTCGGCAACCCACTCCATTCCACAACTTCGCAGGACGTGAGGCATCATGGACAACAAGGACGACCAGGACGCCGAGCACAAGTCAGACGAGGACGAGGCGAAGAAAACGACGCAGCGGGTCGGTCCGCGATCGATGCTGGAGGGAACCGAGGACGACAAGGTCGAATACCGATCCATTTCGGCCATGTCGGCTGCCGCCCCACCAGCGTTTGGCCGGTCGTTTGGTCACATGCACGGCCCGGCGCTCGGTCTGCCGGCGCCATTTAGCATGCGCAAAGCTGCTTCTGCCGTGCCGAAAGCGTCCCAGTTCGCTGCTGTGCCTGCTCCATCGACCATTCCCATGTTAGACACAACCAGCTACGCGAATACGTCTGTGAAGCCCCTTCCCGCGGCCCCATTCCGACTGGAATTACATTCCCATTTCCACGTCAAGAACTCGTCCGTCCAGCGTGTATGCATGGTGATCGGCCAAAAGCTGTTGGACCTCGGGACTGACTTTGTGTTCAAGCCTTTGAAGGGCAAGTGGAAAGTGTCGAAAGTCGACGGGTCTAGCATGGTCGAGTTCAATGTGGCGCTGTTCAAGACAGGCGAGGCCGAGCACGTCGTCGAATTCCAGCGCCGACAAGGCGACATTGTCAGCATGATGCACCTCTATGGCGAGGTCGCCCAGGCGTGCAAGAAGCAGCAGATGCTCACGGGGGCCGGCGCGTTGAAGCCGCTCAAACACACACGACCTGCCGCCTCCCCTACATCGCCGCAATCCGCGCCATGGAGCACGTCCGATGACATGAAAGCCGCTGTCCAGAGCATCCATCAAATGATGGCAAGCCACCATCACGACGTTCAGATCCAAGGCATCCTCGCGAGCATTTCCCTGTCGTCGGTCACGTCGACCTACCGCGACTGCTTGTCCCCCCTCGTGCCGCTCTTGGTCTCCCTAGCCCATTCCACAGTGGACCAGGTCAAGCGGTGCGCGTCGTTTGCCCTGGCCCGCCTCTGCAACGACCCCGAGTGCCGTCGCGCATTCATGAACTCGGACGGATGGGAGCTGGTCGTCAAGCTAGCGGCGGGCGGCGCCGGCATTTCCTTGGACTGCCAACGGGAAAGCCTGCATGTGCTGGAGATTCTGTGTCCATTGTACTCGCATGAACTGTCGGAGGCCGACGGCGCCGCGGCGGTGCTAACGCTTCTGCAAGACTGGCAGTCCATCCCCGATCCCCGACTCAAGAAACATGCGTGCGGCGCCCACCACGCATTAAAAGCTGCCGGCATGTTAGCACAGTAATTTACCACCCTAGGAGTTTAGAACAAATAGTGTGGAAACAGCAGCAACACCCCTCGGTCCAATGGAAGACGTCGAGGGGGGTCAGTCAGTCGCTACGTTAGCAGCTACGGCTTTGGAAAACCAATGAAAGCCAACTTTCATATCTTGTTCTCGTGTGTCTCTGATCGTTGCTTGCGAACTGCGTTGACTAGCCACAACCTGAGCTTGACTTAATGGCATCACCATGATCATGTACAATAAGTTGCTGGTTATCCCTACTGTATGAAGTACTGTTTGGATGACTGCCAAAAATCTCTCAAACGAAAATTAGCTCGTCAAATTCTTCCGGATACAGTAGAAGAATTTTGGGGCAAACCCAAATTCTTTTAGTTCTGGAAATATCAATTTATAGAGGCTTTGATGTATTAATTTGCATATATTTTGGTTTGTGCACCAGAAACAGTACAGCTGTATGCGAAGATTGATCTTTCGACTTCGCATCGTACAATTTTGTGGAGGGTTTTATTTTATTATTATTACAAAAGAAAAAGTATGTTTGCGAGATTTTTGGGCTACTAGTATCTATCCACGTCAATAATTGTTCGCAAATAACGTTACTATAGTATCGTGCCATCCCGACGGACTTGTACCGGTATAGGAATATAAGGACCAAACGTATTTGAACGTACTGTACTATTAATAGTACTTCAGTATATACTGAGTACTAAGTACTACTTAGTATATTCCCAAGAGCACAAACACTTGTGTACATCTCTAAGTATGACTCTAGCCCAGTTTTGCTGACTCTCCGAACCTTGAATAGCAGGTTTCAAGATGCAGTCGCCGGCGACTGTGCTACTACTACAGTACTCCAACCCACTCGTGGGTTTCACAGTCGTACTGGTACCGTTGCGTGCGATGGAGCACCGTGTGCTGGTGGTGGCGGCCCACCTGGTCGATGCAAAATTGAAATCGCGCCTTCACATCAGCCACGAACTTGGGCCCTTCGGCATATGGTGACGTGGACCACCGGCTCAAGAATTCCTCGTCCGATGCGTCATCGATCCACGTTTGGAACTTAGGCTCATCTGACGGTTGCAATGTCAAGCTAAGGCGCGTGTACGGTCCCAACGTACATTCCAAGGCAGGACACGTCTTCAACAGATGCAGAGGAGTGGAAGGAGTGCACGCCATGCGTTGGTTGAACAACGGACCGCGGTATGTGTTGGGAGCGAAGTCCACGCTGGAAGCAGCACAACCAGCGGCAGATCCAATGCACAGGGCACCTCGGGCTCGTGGAAGTGCGAACGCAGACGATGCGTTCGGTGGAAGCGTGTTGAGCGGGCCAGTCACCCACAGCTCCACTTGAAATGGACGGGGTCCAACTTGCATGGCCGACAAAATCGACTCCACGATGGCATGCCCCGTGCCGTTCTCGTCCTCGTAGCCACCAACGACGTGAACTTTCGTGGTCGAAGAGTCGTCCACCGCCCGAGTCGATTTCCAGTGGTCAAAGAGGAACCGAACTTGCTTTGACGAGTCCACGTGCGCGAGACAAAAGCGCGCCGAGTCGTGCAGCATTACGATACAGCACGTCGTGGCGTCGTCGGACACCAGCGCGAGGGGATGGCTATGATACGAATAGGCCAATTCTCCTTGGCCAACATAGAGGTACGGGATGCCGTCGGTAAAGTCCTCGTGGGGTTGCGCGAGATGGGGCGCTTCTAGGAAGGAAGCTGCCTTGGACTTCAGCGTTGTGTCGCTGACCAGGTCATTGAGCGTTGTCGACTTGGCCACTAGCATTTCGAAAACGTTGTGGAAAGTTCACTGTCATAATATTGATATTTTTGTAATAAATTTCAAAAACATGAGCATAAATTCCACAATATTTCGCGTTATTTTGATGGAATTCTAAAATCCCGGATAATCCTCCGGATAGGACTTGGTGGAAGGGAGATTGTGAGCAGATTTGGCGCGAACCATCATCAATTAATATACGGATTGTTCACTTCACATACAAATATCAAGTGTATAGTAGAGGAAAATATTATTGCATTCCTCAACTTTCGACTTCGAGGAGACGTTGGACGACAGATGACGGCAAGTATTGAGAGCACCCCCGCGGAAGTCCAAGTGGATCTTAATGAAGTCCTGGAGGTAGCGGACGGCAAGGTGCCCGTGGATGATGAGGCTGAGGAAGTGGTGGACGAGAAGCTCAAGCAAGTCGAAGACGAATTGAAGCTAACGCGGGAGCAGGAGGACGAGCCGGTCGACGACGCGTTTAAGAGCATCAGCTATGCAAAGCGCGTGGAAAAGTTGGATTCGTTGTTGGAGAAAGCTGGGGCGTACTCCAAGTTTCTCTTGTCCAACATGGAGGCCGCACCTGTGGAAGCCAACGTGGTGGTGGAAGCAGCAGCCCCGAAGAAGCGAAAAGGGCGTCAACCCAAAGTCAAGGAAGGCGCGTCCAAGCTGCAAAAGATCAACGAGCATCAAGCGTCCGCGCATTCGGTGTCAGAGATGAAGTTCAAGCAGCCGTCGTTGTTCACGGGAGGCACGTTGCGCGCGTACCAGCTCGAGGGCATCCAATGGATGTGCAATTTGTTTGAAAACGGTTTGAACGGCATTTTGGCCGACGAAATGGGATTGGGGAAGACGGTGCAAGTGATTGGAATGCTGGCGCAACTCAAGGCCAAGGGCGTCCGCGGGCCGTACCTGGTGGTGGCGCCGCTGTCGACGTTGTCGAACTGGTACAACGAATTCCGAAAGTTCACGCCGACGATTCCCGCCATGATCTACCATGGCACGACGCAAGAACGCAAGCAAATGCGCGTGCAGCAGCTGAAGCGAGGGACCCAAACGAACGCGGACTTTCCCATCATCATCACGTCGTACGAAGTGATTATCCGCGACGCGAGCAGTTTCAACGCGATGGGGTACGTGTGGAAGTTTATGATCATCGACGAAGGCCACCGGCTCAAGAACATGAACTGCCTGTTGATGCGGGAGCTGAAAAAGTGCCGATCCGAGAACCGGCTGCTGTTGTCGGGCACGCCGCTCCAGAACAACCTGAGCGAGCTCTGGAGTTTGCTCAACTTTTTGCTGCCCGACGTGTTTGACGACTTGGCGTTGTTCCAAAGCTGGTTCAACTCGTCCAACGCAACCAACGCCAGCACGTCCACGAACGACATCATTTCCAAAGAAGACGTGCTAACCAACCAAAAGCAAGGCCAAGTCGTGTCCAAGCTGCACGAGATCTTGCGGCCGTTCGTGCTGCGCCGGCTCAAGGTGGATGTCGTGCTCGACGTTCCTTCCAAGACAGAGATCGTCGTGTATTGCCCCATGACGGACTTGCAAGCGTCGTACTACAAGTTGATTGCGACCAAAGAGTTGGCCCAGGCGTTGACTGCAAAACACGGCAAATCAGGTATTGTGACTTCGCTATAATTATATCATTCGTGCGCGGTTTGTGTCTATTGAATCACACTGGAGTTTTGATTGGCTGACTATACACTTGTCCTATCTGTAAGAGCCAATCAGATCCATTACAGAAAATTTGATTCGCCAATAACATCGATTCGTGACCGAATCCACAATACTTACGTCGATAAATCGTGCTTTTTTTCATGTGTGTGGAAGATGGGTTGGATTCACGGAAGCACTTGTGTCGTAATAGCCAGCACTGCCATGACCCTTCGAAACATGGCGATCCAACTGCGCAAGTGCTGCAACCACCCGTACTTGTTTGACGAAGAAACGGACGCGACGGGCAACGTCGTGACCGGCGACCACTTGATTCAAGCGGCGGGCAAGCTCGTCGTGATGGACGCCATGCTCAAGCAACTGCTGGAACGCGGCCACAAAGTGCTCATCTTTAGCCAAATGACGCGCGTATTGGACATTCTCGAAGACTATTTGGTCCACCGGCAAATCCAGTACTGCCGGTTGGACGGGTCCACCCATTTCACGGAGCGGCAGCGCTCGATGGACACGTTCAACGACCCGAGTGGCGGCTTGCAAGTGTTTTTGCTGTCGACTCGCGCCGGGGGGTTGGGGATCAACTTGACGGGCGCCGACACGGTCATCTTGTACGACAGCGACTGGAACCCCCACCAAGACAACCAAGCCCAAGATCGGTGCCATCGCATCGGCCAGACCAAGGACGTGGTCGTGTACCGCCTCATCACGGAAAACTCGTTTGAGAACCGCATGCTGCAGCGCGCCAACGCCAAGCGCACGTTGGAGCGCGTCGTGCTGTCCCGTGGAGAGTTTTCGTCGGCGTCGGGGGAAAAGGCGCCGACCCACACGAGCTTGACCATGGAAGAGCTCGAGGGTCTGCTCCAGGACGACATTCAGATCCGCCAGGAAGCGACCGGCGGCATTGCACCCGATGAGCTAACCCTGCTGTGCGACCGACCCCAAGTGATAGACGCGTTTGTCAAGAAAACCACCGACGTGCCCCGCGAAACCAAAGGCTATTACGTCGTCGATACCGCTGCCTCCCGAATGATGGGAATGGACAGCTTCACTTAAGTTTATAATCAATCATATCATGCACATTTAGACATAACTAATGGGGTAACGTTACGTAGTACTTACTGTATGTATCCACCATCGTCGTCACTCCCCTAGGACCAAAATGCGTCTTAGACGTACCGTACGCCTAAGACGTACGAATTAACTAATTTGTCTGAACCCTGTTTACTTAAATCAAGAGAAGAAATCTTCATGAAATTTTATTGAGCGACATGAGGAGGGGCGATTCTGTTCTGTCTATATTTAGCTCACTCATTATATATTTACTTACAGTTAAGTACTACTTAGACATACGTCAAAATATACTTATTCGTCTAAGACGAATAATTAACGTAGAGTTCCAATTTGAGAGATACTTGAAGTATGTTGTGGAACCAGCGCGGCATGGGTTTCGACGTCTGAAAACTTATATAATTCAAGACGAGCACTGAAACATCGATTTTCACAGTATCTATCACATCCCAACGTCCCATTTTCCAAGCAAAACACCTCACTGTCAATTCCATGGGATCAACAAGAACAATACTACGTAGTAATTTACAGTTACTGTAAAAAACTAGTTTAACGTTAAGATAACTTAGGGTGCGTCTGGTAACATTTCAAAAAGAATATTCCATTTTCTACCACAATGGGATTAACCAAAATACCATTTTCAAAATGGAGGTAAAAGGTCCATTTTGTAATGTGGCGTTTTGGACCTCTTCAACGAGTAAATCCCACGTGGAATTATTGGATTTGGGTTAAAACTCTTCAAGCAAGATATGTTCCAATTTTGATCAGATTTGTTGAATTCGGCCCCAAAATGGCGTTTTGGGCCTGAATATTGCAATATACTTCGAAGTATCCGTTTACCAGACGCACCCTTAACCAATTTAGGATAACTTTGTATTGCCCAATCACACCTCGTTATTTGTTCGAGTCAAAACCTCTGTCATATAATGCTGACCATTCACTCACGTGAATGAAATGCAAAAACGGCGTAGAAGCCATCGGTAACAGTCATTCAAGATTGGGTTCGAAGTACCCTAGTCGACACGGGCCATATTGGGTCGGATCTGAGGTTTTGTCGAGTGTTAAACTCGGTGGACATCCATCCACAACAGAAATATAACTCTATAAAACAGTACCCTTGTATAAATTATATGCAACCTCTTGTAACTGCTTACCTTAAACACAGAATTTTAATGCCCCGACATATACATACTTTAAGATAAAAAAAGTTATCCTAAATTGGTTATCAAAATGTGAGTACAAATGCTTAGAAAGTAGCAAATTTACCTGTAAAGTTCATCGCCTAAACTGATAATTCGATTATGCAGTCAAAGCGGCGCGTCTTGTCTATTGTAATCACTATTCAAAACTCAAATATCGTAACGGACTCAAAAGTTATGTCCATTCTACTCCGACGCCTCCAAAAAAATTATCTTAAATTGGTTTTTTACGTTACGGTAACAGTACGCGACAGCTTCGAGGGTGCCTTTGAGCATAACTTTTGTTACAAAACTGTTAGCCAAAAAAGTGTAATATGTCATATGACTGTAAAGAGGTACTCCGAGTATTTCTAACTACTGTATGTAACTAATTTCAAGGATCGTTGCAACAGTAGTACTGTTGTTACGTACTCCGAGTAATCACTTGGGCCTCCTGGCATACAAAACCCCAGTTATTTCTGGCACATAGTCAAATCAAGTGTAAGTTCAAAACAACTCCTTAACCCCGGAATAGCATTGTATGTACCGGTAAGCGCAAGAGGTCCGGGGGCTCTTGGTAAAAATGATTACGTAATAACAGCGAGGGACTTGTTCTTATAAATACATGTGGAATCTACTCTCTTCAAGTTGTATACGTAGTACACCAGTAGAGTACAGTAGTGGACTTCTGGAGTCCAGTGTGCTGTGTTGCTTTCTATTGGACATAAATGGACCAATCACACCACGTGTGAACGCACCCCAAATGTCGTGGCGCGACGATCGCCGTGGGACGACGCCGCCTTCCAACGGTGAGTGACATGGTCTGCTTGCTTGGCATGAGGGGTCGTGCATGCATGCAGCAGCCATGATACAAGTGTATCCACATACATGTAGGGACACCCGTACGAAAGATCAATGGCCCCCTGGGAGACTTGTGGAAGAAGAGGAATAAACCCAACCAACCGTACGACAGCTACGTTGTGTGGTGCTTGACACACGTGGCGGGTTTCTTTCTAGGCAACACGAACGAAGCCACCCTTATAGCGATGCGCTGGGTATGGAAGAACACACCGTGTTTGAGCACGGGCCATGGATCGACATGTGTCGTCACGTGGGCATGGCCGTCACCGAAGGCCAAGTGAACGGTACATCCGCCCGCTTCAATGCAACATAAACGACGGATGCCTCACGTATGTGTAGGCGGGGTGGACTTGGGCCGACTGCCCATCAACACGGAGCAAGTGTCGGCGGGGTATCAATCGACGGGAGTGATCGAACAAGTTTGTACACCTCGCTTGTCAGTGTCGCCCGTACTAGATGGTTGTGTGGTCTGGTAGGATTTCTTGCTTTTGATTCGGTCTAGCAGGTACGTGGACGAGGAGATCGTGGCAACGTTCCACGATCCGTTGGGCTGCATTGACGGGTACTTTCACCGCGATGTCGTCGACGCTGTGGGCGCCGCCTTAGTCAAGAACGCGGCCGTTCTTCTACGCAACGTACACCCAACCCTCTCGACCCGAGAATGCACTTCATCCTAATATCTACACCATGGCCGGTGGACGTATATATGTATGTACATAGGTGACAGTGTTTATGCCAGTGGAACGACGGCAGCAGTACCTCAACATTTGCCGGAGCAATGTCGTTCGAGTCTTCCCTTCGACTTCCGAACATGCCGACGACGTCGCTGTTTTCAACGCCAACCAAGCGGCGACACTCGAGCGCGGTACCTTTGTCTTAGAAGATCCGGCAGGGGAAGCCACGACGTCAGCGGACCTGGTGGCGATGACCCAGCGTCATGTGATCCATCAAAGCCATGCACAGCGAGCGCCGCCATCGACTGCTTCCAAGGGCAAACACAAATGGGCTTGGAAATCGTTTGTCCCCAAGACGAAGAAAAAGCCGACGCAGCACCTACAGGAGGACCACGAGTCCAATCCACAACCCTCCCCCTCAACCTCTGAGAGCCCCCGCAGTCCCCCAGTACCAGCCCCAGCCAAACAACCTCGACGCATGCCCACCTTAGCACCTCCTGCAAACCAAGCAATCTCCATGCCTTCCACGGCGTCACATTTCTCCATCCCGCCAGTTCACCCATCGAGTCTCCCCATTGAATCCCGTTCGTCCACATCCAAGATGACTCCAGATGCCCTGTCCTTGGCAGTGGACCAAGTTTTGAACGACGACGACTGGTGACCATTGAATAATAAATATACTACATACGACCAACGACTACCGATCTTGCAATTCTTGGGATTCTAGACCATTGGGATTAGAAGAAATCAATTGTTTTGGCAATGCTAGGGCACGTACGATGGGGAGTGAGGTTTCGCAAGAGCACAAGCAACCGTCCTGTACACACCATCTCCACGACCTACAACAAACTTGTCATAACCATCTAGTAGTCCTATACTAGTAGTAGTAGTACTAGACGTACCAAGATCAGTACGTTAGAGATTGCAAGAGTCGTGCGATACAGTTGCTTGTCGCCAAACCCGGTCCAGCCCCACACGACGAGAAACAATATGTCAAAAGCGCAAAACGTGGTAAACTACATATCAACAACAAGCGTTATACGAGGAACCACCGTCATTGGTACTCGCTCTATTGATAATACATTTCAAATTAACAATATCATATGAATAACCGTTATATAAAGTATACACTATTTTGATAATACTAGTACGTACGAGGAAATACTGGCGAATGGAAAAGCTAAAGCTGGACGAGTACCCAAAGATTGAAAACAGCATGCGAATCGGGTCAATGTATGACATGAACACGAGGAACATGACCAGCTTGAGCATCATGTCCACAAACACAGCAATGCCCAGGTGATTCGCCGTCGTCAGGACAGTCTCGACCTTCATCTCGTCGGACGCCGGCGACGACTCCTCGATCACGGCGATCGGCGACTGGCTCGGAATAAAGTCGTCGCCAGGTGCGGCCGACGACGATGTCGACCGCGGAGTCATGGCAAACATGTGGTCAACCACGTAGTCTGGCAGTACCTCCGTCTCCATCTTTTCCTTTTCAGACGGCCGCGCTTTCGACTTTAGTGGCGCCAGCCGCGGCCGCGTGTCCACGATCGATCCGGGTCGACGGAGGTGGAATGCCGACGTGGACGATCGACCGCGAGTCTGTGGCAAGATGAGGTATGTCAGCTGGACTTGGGGCTCGGATCGACGTGGCATCATGAGGATTCGAGGTGGTGCAGGCGATGGCTGGTGGGAGTACGAGGTGGTGCTGGTGGATATCCGCATCGAGGGCCGAGGTTGGGCCGGACGAGGAGTGCTGGCGATGGGTGTGAGAGGTGTGCGTGGACCGCTAGGCGGTGTGGCTGGGCAGTAGTCGTACGGAGACGACCTTGGCTTGGGAGTTGCGCATATGTTGCCATCGTCTACGTAAGGCCCTTCGTTCCCGGACGTGAGCGGCGGAGGCGTGTCCGGTTCAGGATACGGATTATCGCGGTGGTGTATTGGAACGCCCCTGTCTGTCATAATGTAGTGCTAGCGCAGCGTCGTCAATGTCGGAGGACGTTGGGTCCACTGTAACGAGGATTCTCTCGCCAGTGTTCAGGGAATAGTGCGGCTGTCAAATGCTGAAATACTCCTTCCAACGAAAGATTAGGTTGACTTTTGATAAACCAGGCATATTCCCCACCCAATCGTATGCGACATTCGGTGGCCTTTCTCAACTTTTGGCCAATCAGGAATAGGCAGTGAAACATGCGCATTGGTTGATGCAATTGTTGATTTCCAAAGAACCGAATTCGGGGCGTCTGGTTCATTTACGTACATATGCATTATTGTTGGCACTTTCAACGTTACGAGAAATTCAGTAGTACCAAGCCTCGAAACTGGATGATATATCCAAGGCCCTTGAATGATAGTCGGTCGTTACTCCGAGGGTATTACTCGTATATACATACTCCGTCGAAGTACTCTTAGGTAAGTTCGAACATTCGTGAGAATTGTATTATTACTATTATTAATAATACCGTACCGGTATTTATACAATGTATACCTATGGGCACAGTTCCGTGCCAACACAGTTCCGTACCACGGCTTTGATAGGTCAATTCGGTCGATATTTGACCTATTATAGCCAATAGAACGCGTCTTTATATTCTGATACTCGAGGCTGCATTTTTGCATCCGGATAAAATGGCACGGATTTGTTTTCAGCCTAACGTTATCGAGATTTTGAATATTCAAGGCCATTTTACTTCCAAACTAATGCGAAATTCGATACAATTTCAAGTCACACAATCTGCATTTTTCCTCGTGATTAAAAAACACTACTCGGAGTATTATAATAGCAAATTGGACGTCAGGAAGATCTCCAACTGAGGGCCTCTAAATGTGGCACGGAACTCGGCCCTTATCTATACTGTAGTATTGGACTTGACCCATACCGTGCGTTTGGGCAAAACGAATCTTTCGTTTTCAAATACTGGTCGGATTTAGCTCGTTCTTTTCTTAATCGCTTCGTCTTGAATTAAAGATGAATCCCCAGTTTAGTGAAAGCTAAATATGAATGGTGATAAACTTATATGTGCCTTCGCGACATGGGGAATCCACTGATTTCTCCCTATATTCGTACCGGTACTGTATATACCTTCAGATCTGAAAAGTGATACTCGGAGTACATGGGGGAAAAGTTATGGAAGAATTAACCAATAACGTTACAGCCCAAACGCACGGTATCGGTTCGTTTTACATTAAACTTAGCCAATCAAACCTCATCCGAACGACACCAGGCACTATCATTGGTGGACAATTGCAAAAGTTGTTAATGGATGAATTATGCGAGCGCCAACGACACCATCCGCCCTTGTCGGCATGTCCCGACCTCGCTCGCATTCCGACGGCCAATGCTGGCTTCCACCTCTTCGTGGGCTCGGCAGAAGCAGCCAGCAACGCCACCATGATGCAGGAACTAGGGATTGGCGCCGTGCTGGCGTTGGGCACCAAGGCGCTGTCGGAAGTGGAAACTGTCAGCATTGACATTTTGGACATGGAGCAGGCTTTCCTCATGCAACACTTTGACGCCTGTTTTGCCTTCTTGCATCGGCAAGAGCAGCGCCACGTGCCAACGTTGGTGCATTGTGTCTACGGTCAGTCTCGCAGCGCGGCCATCTGCGTGGCGTTCCTCATGCACTCCGAGCAATTGTCGCTTCGACAGAGTTACGATCGGGTCCAAGCGGCTCGCCCTTGCATCTACATCAACTCAGGATTCCTGTCTCAACTGGCGTTGTTTGAAGCCATGCAATGCCAGCTTCTTGGCTCGTCGCCTGCCCATGCCACGGTGAGTGCCGTCTCCCCCGTTCGTCGTCGTTCATGGTTGACGTAGTTTCGACTGCGATGGACCTATGAACGTCATGTCAATCATAATAAAGGGCCTGTGATGCTGTATCCACAGCCAACGGCTATGGCCGCTCCCACCATAAAGCGGATATTCTGCAAAAAGTGCAATTTGCACTTGGGGGTGGCTGACAACGTTGTACGAATCACACCTAAAAGTTCTCAAACGCGTCCGACTGTGCCTCTGTTCCAGGTACATCATGGCCACAAAGGTGGCAGCCCTGCAACAAGCTGCGGCTCTCTGTACGTCGAGCCACTCCCGTGGATGCATCTGGAGGTGATTATTTTGATATACATGACGTGACCAACCCTAGAAATATCTCACGCAAAAAGCGATTAGACTGACCAAGGCAAACTGACTTGTCCTCGCTGCAGTTCCAAGATCGGACTATTTAACTGGAATGGACTCAAGTACGTACAATGGGACTCTACCGACGCCTCGATATCTGAGGTCGTTTTCTGCTAACAAATAGTGTGAATGGTGACTGGCGTAGGTGCACGCTAGGTACGTATTGCCAGCCCGCCATCCTCCTCTCGTCTGCGCGTGTAGAAACTCGATGACATCGTAACGTTCACATGTATATTTCCATGCTCATGCGAAGGAGCTTTGTTCACGGCGACTTGGCTTCCAACTGGTCCAAATCATCTTGGGTGAACACATACATGCACGATACATCCACCTGCACACACACTGCGTGAATGTGTGCCGGGACTAGCGTACGATAGATAGGACGCACCTTTGTATCGTTGAACTCGACACCTTCTTCCGTGAGAAGAGTTCGCTTGTCCTTCAAGTCATTGCACTTGGGGTCCGTGGAACCTACAGAAACAACATGTACTAGTTTGTCAACATGACTCAAATACTGGTCATGGAAAGCCAACCTCGAAACCCATGGAGATCTCTTGAAGCAGAGACGACTCGATGGCAAGGAACTTGTGGGGCAAATGGGTTCCGCTAGAATGGTCAGCTATAGTCAGGACACCGTACACGTCTGAGAGGGCGAAGCAGACATGCATACTCGCAAAGCTTGGCCGACTCCTCGTGGCCCCGACTGGATGGCTTTGGCGACAGTGCCATACGTTGCAACCTTTCCAGCGGGAATCTACAGCACCAGCCAATATATGCTTTCTGGTCACCTAGGTTGTGGCCAACACGACAGGATGTACAGTGGCGGAGTACCAGACTGATGAGCTTGTACACCTTGATGTCTGCTTGAGATTGTAAGGGAAAGCCTGAATTGAGTAGGCTTACCATGCTCCGTGACTGGTTTACCACGCCAAATCAACTTCTTGCTGCCAGCTGCTGCTTTCTTCATGCCTGATCCCTTTGTGCGCATTCGTGTTCGCAACGGCAATATGGAAGCGGTGGGAATTCCAACACGGACGATTTCGCGCGAGAAAATTCACAATGGAATAGATGAATATTTGAAACATTATGTAAATTTTGCTTTATATCTATATTTTTTAAATTGCAAACATTGGGGGCGACGCTAGGCCTCCGACATGAATGTCTTGCGTGAACGCATTCGACTTCAGGTAAAATGTGCTGATCCTTTGCCGATTAGAATTTCCCCAAGATCGACGCTCAGTATACTTTGTAGACCGCTCCGGTCATTGTGCGAACAAACGAAATCGCCGATCGCAATTGCATCATTCATTTAATTTCAACTCTAAGTAGTGTACTACTTGGATACAAGTACACTATATGTAAATGCCAACCGTGTTAATGAGCTTCGAATGAAACCAAATAGATGAATTTGATCAAATTACACCTACTGTAGTACTTTTGTGAAGTGCTGCGACCATGGCGACCTCCGACTTCACCATAGCCACGCTCGTGGATATGTTTCCAAATGTCCCGTTGGGCAGGATTCGAACTGTGCTAGCCAGCACGCATGGCGATATGGATGCTGCCATCGACATGCTGCTCGACCCATCGAATGCAAGAAAGCGCAAGGCCAAACCCGACATCCGGTGCTTTTTCCAGTCACAATCAGTAGCGCGGCCACCACCAAAGAAAGTCCACATCACCTCGAGCACACCTGCAGATAGCCTCCACTTGACCATGGCATCGCTGGTGCCATGGGACCCTGCCAAGGACCCGCAGAAGCCGAAGCTCCTTACGTTGCACACGCTAAACCAGCACGTGCCTTGCCTATCGCTTCAAACCGATTTTCTTCCTCACGACCAAGCCAGTGACATGCTCACCGAGATGATGGCTGCGTCAGCCGACTGGATTCGAACGAAATGGGTCATAGTGGACCGCGGTCAGTGCGCACCCTGATGTCTGAACTCGAAATCTGACCTGCACGTGCATACCATGCTTTAGAAGTCGAGTCCCCGCACCATACACAACTGTACGGTTTGGAAGAAGCGCATCTGGCGCGGAAGGCGGATCTGTACACCAACACTGGCACAGCCGCGACCAACATGCAGCAGTTTACGCCCATGCTGCATGCCGTCAAAGACCCAGTCGAAGCAGCAGTGAATCACGCGCTGGCTTCCCGTGTCAGGCATCCGCTAGAAGCGCCGGGGCCATGGGTGGCCAACCTCGCGCTGGGCAACGTGTATCGAACCTCCGACCAAAGTGTGGGCTCTCACTCGGACACGATGACGGAACTGGGGCCGCGACCAACCATCGCATCGTTGACTCTTGGAGCTGAACGAGTATTTCGCATCAAGCGCCTCGCGACAAGCACGACACCGGCGCAAACGTTCAACGTGAAATTGCCGCACAATTCGCTGTTGATCATGTTTCCTCCATTTCAAGTAGTACACGTACATATTGTACTCGAGCTTAGGCTCCGTAAACACAGCATCTACGGGACGACGAGTATAACTTGGCTTGTGTGTTTTGTGTGTGTCAGGAATGTTATCGGCATGAAGTCCCCCCACAACAGCCGTGGCAAGTCAAAGTCCATCCCGTGGCCGGCGAAACGCGAGTAAACTTGACGTTTCGCATGATGCGAGCCAACTACGTGCGCCACATGCCGCAGTGTCGGTGCGGAAAGCCCGCGGTGCTTCGAACCGCCAATCGGCCGTCAAAGAAACACGTGGGAGAGTACTTTTACATGTGTGCTGGCTCCGTGCCTGCTTCGTGCTCGTACTTTTGCTGGCTAAGGGATCGACTGCCCTTGCTGTTGGAGGGAGCAGCAACCGCGACGGCTTCCAGAGATTATGGTGTTGATGATCAAAAGTCGTAGTATAGTCCGAATAGTGCTCGTTCACGTCCTGATTTTATAAATTGGAATTGTACCCACGCATACGTTTGAGAGATACTACAGGCAGGGCTCACGTGTACTACGCAGTAAATGTTTGCACATTTACAGTCAGCGTTACATTGGTTTTGTAGCTAAACCACTTTGGCGTAGGGATTTGGGCCGTCCAAATCCGTTTGGTGCTGGCGCAGCGTGGATGCTCTCAACAGCGAATAGTCGAAATGTGGGTAGTCCGCAGCATTTGCCACGTACGAGCTGGGATGCCACTCGATGTCAAAGCTGTCCACCTCAAAGTCGCCAAACAGGGTCTTGTATTGCGTTACTACAACATGGCAGATTGTTACATAGTAGTAGTTGTTTGATCGAGAGAAATATCGCCCAAACCTGCTTCGTATGACAAAAAGTTGAACCCACATCGATCGGGGTCGTTGTCCAGCACGACCTTTGGCCTAACAGTACACAGGACCACCCCCAGCTTGAATGATTTTGCACTTAGAAAACAATGGCCGTTACTTGAAGGTTGCAGCCAAGTTTTGCTCGAGCATCGGAATCAAGCAAAAATCTCGCGCCGAGCCGGTCTTGGCGTCGTGCTCCCACATACACATGAGGGTCATGCGGTCGCCCCATGTTGTCGTGTTGCGGACGTAGTAGGTTACGTCGTCGCTCACTTTGCATTTTGTCGCATCCGAGCACTTCAAGTCGAGGGTCTGGACGTTGGTCTTGGCAAACATGCGGGTGACATTTGACATGCACGCGTCAATGCCTTCGCTGGCACCGGGAAAAGCCGTGAGTTCGTCCTCGACGCCCCCACACGCATACCAGTTTATGGGGCTACACGACGATCCACGATTAAACCTATTTGCGTAATAATAGAGGAGGGGTACTTGTAACTGTTGGGGCAAATGGTGCGTTCGCCCCACGCGGAAACATCTTGAAGCCACCACTGCAACGAATGGCTGCCCGTGTTTTCTGCTGGCACCCACGAGTTCTTGACGATGAACCCCCCCACTTCGCCTTCGTGGTTTTGAAACGCATCGTTGTAGCCCACGAGTTCCTACGTGTGTATACAACTTGAATGAATTTCCCCGTTCGACAAGTTTAATGTTGGATGCACTACGAACCATCGCATGACCGTCGTCCAGCACCATGCCGGCATGGGCAAAGTACTCCCCTTCCATGTTAGGGTTGTCCCCATCGAACACTGGTACACAGCATGTTGTAAGGGCAAACGAAGGCGGGCACAACGTGCACGTTTCCAGCTGACAATGGCGATCGGCCAAGAATGGACCAATGCACGGGTAGTAATGGTTCACGTTCACTTCGGGGGTGCCGACAATCATGGACTGTTGGTTAAGAGCAAGGTGCTGCTTGATTGAGGGCGTGTCGTACAGTGTGCGGATGCTCTATCGATGTCGTAAGTGCCCAAACATTCTCAACCGAAGACTGTTCGTACCTTGACGTTGAAACGAACGGGGTTGAGTGCGAGCGCCTCATCTAGCCCGGGGCAGTCGTGGTCATGGCCTTCCTTGAAATACGGGCATACTGCAGTCGGCAACAACGAGTTCTTCAATCCATTTCGAAGGTAATACAGCAACGCTGGTTCACCGCCATCAGTCGAGTTGTTCGAAATCTACGGGAGGGACGATCACGCTAGCGCTCCAAAAATTGTGTTTGGGGTAAACAATCAATCCCTAGCCAGTGTACATACGTTGCTGCCAGCCGTACGACACGCCTTTTGCTGGGGCGAAGTTGGCTCGCCAGTACACAACCGCATGACTTCAATGCCGTACGCCTAACAAAAGTCGATTCGTCGAGTTTCGATAGGCAAAAGGTCATACCTGCTGAGAGAACGCCACGTATTCATCGCTTTGAAGCCACCCGTTGCGCAGTCCATGGTCTCGGTAGGACCATTCCAACGTTGAGATGGTGGCGAAGTCCCAGCACGTACCGCGATGACCTTGATCTCGACGGGGCGTGACGTTCTGAACTGCAAATTTCGACGGGAGAATAGCGGGCACTTGATGTCGCTGCTCGCGTTGAATCGCCATGAGTGTGTCGGTGTTTTGTCTTGCCACCACCACGATGTAGGCAAGGGTGGCCAAGTTGATGGCCACGAAGGCACCGCCGACTTTGATGGCCCATCGACTGTGCACGGCTGATACGGCGATGTGATCGAGGTGGCCGCTAGTGTCCGAGCCATATTTCAACGGCACGTTCATGGCTCCAGCTTGGAACTTTTCAAATGCACGTGGGAAACTGGCGGTCACCAAGATCCAATTCGTAACTGGGCTGCTCCACGAAGATCGTTGATTGGTTCGTTGATGGTTATAAAACGGTCGAGACATTTGAAAACAGTGAAGTGCCTCAGTTACAAGTATGCGTGTTTGGAGTTTTGATAGGCAAACCACACAATACCAACAGTAATGTACTCCTACTAATGTTTCCTACAGTACTACAGTACCGTTGCGTGGTTGATAAAGTTAGCTGTATAAAGTGGACGAGTTGTTAAGAGGGAAATAGGCATGTTGATCGCTAACGGTGTCGTGCTCTAAACCGGCGTTGTACACCCCTATCACTAACTGTAAACACGCTAAGATGTGATGATTGCCTTCACTGAAAGCCTTCTAAGCCCCGGTGCTAGCGGAAAATGCGCATGCTAACGTGTGTGGGTCGTCGTCTGTACAACGCAGTCTCTGATGCGCCTCGCCGTCAAGGTTTCTCTCCGGACAGGGCGGCAGCTGTAGTTCGGCCACGTTGAGAACCACGACTCCCCCAAACACAATTCAGGCCATGCAAATGACGCAACATCGGGGGCGTCTATGCACACGCGCCGCGTGGCTAGGGCCGCGGCACCGCCTCGTCGAATGGTTTAAGTTCCTAGCCATAGAGTCGAGGGGTTTAGGGGTTGCGTTAGAATATTTTTGGGATAACATTACGTACTAGTATTCAACTGCAATGGCTGCGTCATACAGCCAGCACCACAACCTGACATTGATGCAAACACATGGTACTGTAACGCTATTCCATGATTCACAAACCACTGGTGGCTGCAGTCGAGGTGTACAAATCAGCTGGTAGTTCGTCAGGCGGCTACAGATTTCTCCAATTACGTCCGTTCAAATTGCTCATTCACGCCTGCTTCGCCTCAACCACAAGTCGAATTTGGGGCGCCTTATAATCGCAAGTCCGACGGCTACAGTATAACGAACTTACGAACTTATTCCCGCACTTTTCGTCGAGAAGCCACAGACGAGTTGGTGACGGTGCTGTGGGTTGTCCTTGAACCAGCTCCATCCGAACGATTGTCCAGCGTGCGCTCGCTTTTGCTGAACACTGAGGTCGGAACAACCACGATTTTCATGCGCCGCTTCCGGTACAGTACTGTACAGTAGGCCCCAATCAATTCCTAACACGAGGCGGCGTATTATGTACTATTACTAGCTAGTACTACTAGTATTAATACGTAGTACTTCGAGTATTACATCTGTACCGGTAGTCACAGTACCAAGGGTGAAACCGCTGGGGTGTTTTATCGAACCGAGCGAGTTTCAAATATCGAACGTGGCTACAGTCGCATGCATGAAGTTTGCCAAAGATCTTGCCCATGGTCCAATTCTTGGTAGACATCCTCCGACCTTTCTACGGTTTCCCCTCATGACACGAGGAAAAGTCTGCTCGCCATTGGTCACCATTTATGTTGGACCTCCCTGGAAGTTCCCCCAACCAGCAAAACAACTTCAGGACCACAGAGTTCTCACTGTCAAATCCATTTCAGCAATGGATTGGAACTGGGTCGCCGCTGGCTGGCTACATATATTGCCCCTCCCTGACCATGGCCACAAGGCAACGAGTTTAATTACTGTGGTGGCTACGTTGTACTACGTAGTACTAGTACTGTACTGTAGTCCTACATGATATCACCAGATGGTGTCCAGGTCAGTCGAATCGAACCAACCACCGACGACGAAGTACGGTGGCCTTTCACGTCGTAAAACCCATTTCGCGTCCTCGTCTCTTGGAGTTTGTATACGAGGTCAATAGTAATAATTAAATATTATTACTACATGGGCAACTTGACTTGTTATAGCGTGGATTGTTGAACTCTTTCAAGTTCAAGTTGCCCACAGCTTTCACTTCGTCCGCCCACAACGCAATTCCCCTCGCCTTGATCATATGTCCGACGACGCTCGTGTAGTGCGCATCCCCCTCAAGTACGGAGGCGACGACCTCCAAGTGAGCCCCCGCCAGGCCGGGCGTCACAGCCGGTGGGTGTGGATTGCGGGCGGCGTGTTCCTTGTCGCCAACATCGTTGTCCTTGGCAGCATTGTCATTGTGGGCAAGTCCGTGGGCGAGTCGCTGGTCCACATCAAGTCTGTCGAGTCGCAACAAGCCATCCAAGCGTTGAGCGCGTCGACGTTGCCGTCAAAGTTTGCTGTCCAGCACGTAACCCCTCGCCAGGACCAAGCGCACCGCGGCACGTGCTGGGACTTTGCCACAATCGCGTATTTGGAGTGGTCGTACCGCGCCAACGGCGTGGCTAACGGCTGGCTCAAGGCTGAAGAGTACGTGGCCTTCTCCGAGCAGGTACTACAATAGTAACTCCAATATTGAACGATTCACGAACCAACGATGTAGGCGTACGGGATTGAAATCATGCGGTTGTGCGCTGGTCCGGAAAACTCGCCCCAGCAAGTGGCCTGCCGCGTCGCTGGTGACTTTGTACGTTGCTAATAGATGATGATTGTTTTTGATTGTTTGATAAAAATACTAATAATCATGGGGCGTTAGATCTGGAACCACACAACCGAAGGCGGCGAAGACTACGACTTGTACTACCTCCGCGACGGCCTCAAGAACTCGGTCTTGCCCACGGCCGTGTGCCCGTACTTCAAGCAAGGCAACGAAGACGTGTGTCCTGGCCTCGACGCTGCATTGGAGCACAACCCTGTCCAATTTGAAGTCAAGGTTCAACCGATCCCCACCTGTTATGTCCTTGACGGCTCATCATACTGAACCGGATACGTAGAGCATCTCGACGTTCTACGATGACCCGACGATCAAAGTGCAGTTGTTCACGCAGAAAAAGGCACTGTCCATCGGCACGCCCGTCGTGAGTGTGTCACACTACTACCCGTGCATCGGACCGTTCCTGAGCGATCCGCACTGCCAAAAGGACAAGGACACGTGTACGTTGTGTCCGTCTGACCTGTCGCAGACGACGTGCTGTGTGCCATCCCACGGCGGCCACAACCCCAACATGGAAGGAGAGTTCTTTGCCCACAGTCGCATGTCGTACTCTGGCGGCCACGCTATGGTAATGAAACGACACTTTGCAGTTTGATTCTTTTGATTTTGTACTTGATCGAGTGTGTACTTTAGCACCTCGTGGGGTACAACGATGCGTTCCGCAACCATGAAGGGGAAGTGGGGGGGTTTATCCTGAAAAACTCGTGGGCTGATTCCCAAACGCGGGGCAGTCACTCCTTGAAGTGGTGGCTCCAGGAAATCTCCGACTGGGAAGAGCGCACGATCTGCCCCAACAGCTACAAGTAAGTGGATGCAAAACGAGTCGACTGTTCGTAGCTAACTTGGCCGAGTAGCCCCACCAACTGGTACGCTTGCGGCGGCACGGACAACAATGCCGACTTGGTGTCGCCCACCAACGCCACGGCCACAGTCGTGTATAACAAGGGTATTGAGGACTGTCTCACCGACACCACGCGGATGTTTGCCAAGACCAACGTCCAGACCCTCGACTTGAAGTGCTCGGATGCGACACAGTGCAAAGTCAGCGACGACGTAACCTACTACGTCCGCAACACGACCGACTGGGGCGACCGCATGACCCTCATGTGTGTGTGGGAGCACGACGCCAAGACCGGCTCGGCACGCGACTTTTGCTTGATTCCAATGCTCGAGCAAAACTTGGCCGCGACGTTCAAGTACAGCAGCCCTTTCAAGTGCAAAATCGAATCCTCGTACTGATGGTGCTTGGCATGTGTAGGCCCAAAGTGGCGTTGGCCAACGACGTTGATCGATGTGGTTTCTACTTCTTTTCGTATGAATCGGGTACGAATAGATGGGTTTATGATAAGGAGGTCAAGGTAATATGTCACAACGATCTCATGGATTTGTTGTTTACCGTTAGCGCGCCAGTACTTGCGACAATTTGGTGGATTTTTCGTCAACGGCTACGACATTGAGTGGCATCCCAGCTCGTACGTGGCCAACGCCGACAAGTTTCCATCGCACAACTACACTTTGCTGCAACAATCGACCTTCCGCCAGAACACGGACGACTTTGTCGGGCCTCACCCTTATGCTCATGCGATTAAGTCGCTGCCTTAGTTAGCTATGACCGTAGTTTTGAGCGTGTTAATGAACCAAATGGTTGACAGTGAACTCAATCGTTTTGCGGGACTACAGTGTGCATATATATATACCTCTTGGAGTTTATTGTAGCTAACGCCTACATATATCTTCGAGTTTATTGCGAATAGACAATAGGGGGCTACGTAATTTCGCACCAATCCGACATTCTCGCCTCAATAGCCATCATTGCCGCCGTTGGGCGGTACTAGTAAGTAGCAATGACGTTTAGGCATTGGCTGTGTTTTGAAATCTGTGATGACGGGGGGGGTGGGGTATACGGATCATTCAATGTGAGACGACCAAGAACTGCCTCAAGCGCGTTGCGTAAATCAAATTCGCAACCTTCTTGGACTCCAATGAGCCCCCGGGCATAATTCTTCCCATGATTGCCGATGGCCAAGTGAGCCGCATATTGCCATCCTATGATGGACAACCATCCCATGGAGTTAGTTGGGCGAGAGTGGCGAAATGACATCTCTCTCTTGTGCTTTCGCAGAGTGGTGAACTGAATGATGAACAAATTGAGTGGTGGCGCGTACATATGTGACGACAGCGGTCTTGTTGCCCATCCAACCTGTGAACGCATCCATTTTGACTTACTGTACTGTTAGTTGATGGATTGCAACCGAGAAAGATTCGCCGACAATGGCCTCAAATCGTGCGGCTGTCGTCCGAGTGATCAACAACCCCCCCCCCAGCACGAAGATATCATTTGGCTCTCATCACTGCATGGAAAATAATACCATAACGTCATAATACAGAATTCGTAAGGTGAAACAGTAGGTTTTAGTAGGCTCGCAAGGTGAGCTGCCTTACGAATTCCATAAATCGATCTGAAATAGTTCAAATTTTATTGAATGAAGCTTCATCTTTGTATGGAATAATTTAAATTCCTTTCAACGCATCTTTTTGATGAATTCGTAAGGCAGGCTGCCTTACCAAATTTCTGTCCAATTATATGATAGAAAAGTGAAAATAACTGGCCAGTAGGGTCGTTCTATTCTCTTTACTACTACTATTAATATTAACAGAAAGGCCACGGGAGCTATAATCACTTTTCACGGTAGGAAAATGGAGGTATCGACATGGAACTATTCCCACCGTCTAGCAGATGCCACCCCATTCTCGGGATTCACAGAATACACCTTCATGAACACGCGTAAATGCTTTCAAGTAGAAGTACGAAGATCTGTGCGAGTTAGAGATTCTTCCGTGTAAGCCAATGCTTCGCCATCATGGGATGGTACTAGAACGTTTGTTGGACAAATAAAAAGAACTACTTTTGTTTCATCCAATTACATGAGAGCAGCCACATCAGCGAACTTAGACTCTACCACTGTAACATAGTTGTTTGTTCCCAAACCACTGGGAAGTACCACATGTGTTGACGAACATTGTAGATTGACCTTTGGGTTGACGCGAATGAACTGAAAGGCATTCAGATTGGGAAATCTCGTCCATCCGAGCGGGTTAAGACACGTAGAAATACCTCCAAAACG